TACTTGCTCCACCATCCTTGGTCTCTGTTCTGTCCTTGTTTATTCTTCCCCGCTTGGCGGGATTGCGTCGATGGCTCCTAACAGGGGTGTTTGGTGTGGTGTGTTGTTTTGGTCACCTTGCGTGTCTTCAGTGACTCCTTTGTCCCTGTCTTTAGTTCTGTTTTGGTACCGAGTTCCTGCGATTTTCTGTGTGACTTCCTGCAGGCGTAGGTGTTGCGCTGTCAGTGGGGGGTTGTGGCCTTTTGGTCTGCCGCTCCTGTCTTCCTGGTTCCTTTACTTGGACCCGGTCGCTGGGTTTCAGTCCTGGCTCCGGTTTTTCTTTGTTCCTTTTCCGGACCGGGTGTGTTTGCTTTCCTGCGGTTCACGTCCTGGGTAGTTCTCCTCTTGGATGCTTCAGGGACGCGTGTGTCATTCTTCCCTGCTGCAGCTGGTTATGTTGCTCCTTTGGGTTGCAGGGTCGCTATTTTTCGATTCGCGTTTTGCGCTTTCGTTCGTAGTGCTTGTTTCTCGTCGTTTGTGTCGGCAGTGGAAGGTTCGTTGTTGGTCTCCCACCTGCGTGTTTTGTCTCGGGGGCGGTGTGTGGTTTTCCTGATGGTCCTTCCGGTTTTCCTATCACTGTGAAGGGTCCTTCGGTCTTTGATAGGGTTGGCTTGTCTTCCCTTCGGGGTTGTTCCAGGACCGTCGTCTGGGTTTGTGTCCTGTCACCCCGTATTGGGTGGTGCTGGCGAAGCCGTTCTTGCTTGCTTTCAGTGTTGCGGTTCCTTCTGTTCCGTTCTGCTTGCTGTCCTGGGCATTGTTCCCCTCTGGCCTGCTCTTGAGTTCTGGTCTCGTCCTGGTCATTGGCCTGGGTGGTATCTTTTCTTCTCGTTTTGGCCTGTTTTGTCTGTGGTTTTGGTTTTTGGGTTAGGGCGCGTGGCGTCCGCCTCCCGGTTCCTTATCTGTGGTGAGGTAGCCCCGGGGAGCCGACGGGGCTCCCCCCAGAAAACCAGCGTTGAATGTAATGAAACGCCATTTTCTGGGTGAGTCCCGGAGGCTCCCCGGCATCCCTCCCTCCGGTTGGTGGTGTTTTTTGCGTATTTTGACATCCAGCCTAAGAACTGCCAGTTGGATTGCCGGCGTGGAGGGTCTGGGGCCCCCCCTCTTCCCTCCCGGGGAGGGTGGGGGGTTGCGCAGACAGTGGCGCGGGAACGTGATGACGTCATGCTAGTTTGATAATTTTGTTTGGGGAAGTTCTGTCCTTGTTCGGCTTTCGGTAGCAATATTTTCTCCAGAATAGGGGTTTGTTTTGGGGCGCCTACCTTTCTGGGTGCCTATCCTGGTCGATGGCAGACATACAATGCTCCCAACCACAAGGGGGTTTCTATAGGCCATTGCTCCTCGTGCCTCTCTGAGGGGGCCAGGTTCTGGCTCGTGGTCCCCGGTAGACAAGAACCCCTAGCACTCTGACTGATGCCAGAAAGTTATACATATCCATCCATTCAGCCTGGATAGCTCCGGGGAGCCTCCGGAACTCACCCAGAAAATGGCGTTTCATTACATTCAACGCTGTTATTTTTTTTTATTTAAGTAACATGGAGCAGCCTACCTTCTGACCACCAAACGAACCTTTTTGACATTTGTTCTGTATTTCAAAATTTTTCTTTTTTTTTTTTTTACAAATAAGTCAATTCTTTGCAACATTTCAGCAGTCACCCCTTTATATCCCAGCATCATTAGCATCTTTAACCCTTTAACTGTGCAACGCGCCTGCAGGCCCACGTCTGGGGTGCTCTACACCCCTCCGGGTATTTATATTTTTCACGTTCCATTCAAAACTCCCGCGGCTACTTGGGGTTCACATCAGCTTACTCAGGGCTCTTGTAAACAGACGCCATCTTTAAAAAAAATCGTGGTCCACATTCCCGGGTGTGGGAGCCTCATTAGTGAGTGAGCAACCAAGGCTGGCGCTCGCAGCATGAGCTCTCAGCACTGCTGTTCAGCGTGTGACCACAGCATCGTCTAATAATGTCAAAATATATATATAACTTGTATTATTTAGCCATGATAGTACAACCCGTTCTCGCAAATTCGTAAAGTCAATATTGACTTATTAACTACGTGCATAGGTGACATACTTAACATAATAGATACCCTTAAAAAGATTCATAGAAAACACCGACCTTACCTAACCTTGTTAGTATCTTAAGATAAGCATCTTATTGCTTCGTAATTACAATTATTATTTAACCTATACCTATTATAGGTTAGGTAATAATTGTAATTACGAAGCAATAAGATGCTTATGTTAAGATACTAACAAGGTTAGGTAAGGTCGGTGTTTTCTATGAATCTTTTAAAGGGTATCTATTATGTTAAGTATGTCACCTATGCACATATTTAATAAGTCAATATTGACTTATTAAATTTGCGAGAACGGGTTGGATAGTATTACAGAAGAGCCTGAGTGTGATAATGACTGTGTACAATGTTCAAATATTAGTGATTCAATGCTGTTCACGATGCTCACAGCGCTAGCCACAGCACCACAGCATTATTTCGTCCATCTAGGAATCTTCAAACGACTTCTTAGGTTCTTTTACAAAATAAACTTGTGCTCAATTATGCATTTACAGGATTTAGTGACCAGTATTGTGATAACAGCAGGATTGTGGTGATAATAAACACTGTGCGTAGTATTGTGGGAGGAGTAATTGTGCTGAGGGAGCGAGGGAGAGAATCGAGGTAGCCTCACTGTGTGACAGCCACTCTTGTTTTGCTCATACTAGCTTAGTGGTTCGCTGTGGTGAACACACTTGTACATGGGTATATACAATGTGTGTATATAGTGTAGTAACAGCAACAGGAGTATGTTGGGAGGAGCTATTTTGGTGAGGGAGGTGACAGTCGTAGCGTCGTCTGCTGGCTGCTGTGTGATTTCTCATGCAGTGTATGGTGGCCACTGTAAAGTTTGGACACAATACCGGCTTACTTGCATAGTTCTGGTGAATAAAACATGAAGATAGGTAAACATAAGTGTAAACAATGTAATACAAACAATAACAGTATGGTGGGAGGAGCAATGTTGGTGAGTAAGATGTTGGAGGAGTGAGGGAGAGACTGGATGTTGGAGGAGTGAAGGTGTGGCAGCTGACGCTTGCGGAGTTCTGAGTGTGTTCATGGTGAATGTATATAGTGTGTGATAGTGTATAGTGTGTAAATAGAATGTATATACTGTATACATAAATTAGCATAATACAATGGAAATATGTGTCGGATATGTGTACACATGTCATGCACGTAATACAGTGTCTTCGGACAGTACGGATGTTCTACTGCCATAATATAGTGTACGTGTTCATTATACATAGGATTGGCACGTAAAAGCATATAAAATGTATTTGGAACTGTGTGTAGAAAATGAACAAAAATATATTCGCGGCAACTCGCTCATCCTGCCCTGAGCGCCCTACCGGCCCCGGGGGCGTATGCCACGGGCGACCAGGGAATGACGACGTCATGCACGAACTTACGGACCCCATAGCAGCTAAAGTACTTACAATTTTGACCTTCTGTTACTATACCCTTATTCAGGGAAGGATTTTTGACACTTTAAAAACAGAAAAAAAAAATTCAAGAGATTTTATTTCCTGCACACTAGGGGGGGTCATATATGGAGGCCGTGCAGTTTAGGGGTTAAACAAAAACAACATAATTTATTTGCATTGTCGGAGGCGTCCGTGAATGTGCAAGAAACAACGCGACCCCACCATGTGGTGTCGTCGTTATTCAAACGAGCGGTCCCCATAGAAGACAAATTGTTGGCGATCGGGCTGGTCGTTACCCAAAATGTTCGCCATTTGAGGTGATCGTTATTCGAGATACCAATGTATTCAAGTGTGATCGTCACTAGGTGGGTGACACTGGTAAATTGAAGCGCGGTCACCCGTGCCACCAGGAACCATGCACTCGGTCGACCCTTATTTATATCAACAAAGTCGCTAGTCGAGGCAAAGGTCGTAAGTTGGATAAAATTTTCCAACGGAATTGGGGTCATAACTCTTAAAATTCCTAAGTAGGGGCAGTCGTAAGTCAAGGTTCCATTGTAGCCGATTTCGGGAAGTCTTTTTTTGTCAATTTGGTCAATTCCTGTTATTATTTTGTAAGCGGTGATCACATCACCTCTTTCTTCTATTATCTAGGTTTGTCATATTTAACATCTCTAGCCTCTGTGTAACTTTTGTTTATCAGTTCCTGATGCCATTTTGTAGCATGCCTTTGCACCTTTTCTAGTTTACTGATGTGCTTCTGGAGATATTGACACCTCAGTTGGTATTGATGTGGACATATTAGTGTTGCTTTACTTATTAATTTATATAATGTAGTGTTTATGTTGAATTACTTGATATATATATATGTACACAGAATTTACAAAACAGTGATTGAGTACTGTATGTAGGCCTACAATGTAATATACTGCATGTGAAGTTGTTCCTGGCATAGCTCAATAGAAGTGTCTTGCAATCCACTCTTTTGCTAATCTGTCTGGGAATGTTACACAGGTATGATTTCAAACACTGGTGACAAAGGTGAAATTACGTATAATGGTGATTGCTTGGCTCCCTATTACTTGATAACCTCATTGCATGGTAAGCTGTTACACAAGGATTGCAGAATTTTGTCATGGATCTTGGTTAATTGCACTACAGTATAACCATAATTTACATCATTTGTATAAAAATTTGATAATAATGAATCTTGACAAATGACATAGTGCAGGGGACCAGATCAACAAATGATGACTGCATGTTTGGAGTTTAATATGGTTGTGATTGCATGAATGTTGTAGAACCCTAATCTTCCTGACAGTCCTTTTGGTTGAGTAGCAGTGATTGCAGCACTGACCACAAATGGTCAAGTGTTTATATACAATAGGGAATTAAACTGTTTCACCCAGTATATCATTCTGATAAACTGGATGATATACTATGAATTCCAGTTGATAATTTTTCCAACTATTTCAGAATTCTTGGGCCCAAGGAAGAAAAACAACTAAAACTTGATCAAGAACATGTGGAATTTTTGCAGAAAAGATTAGAAATACAAAAATTAATCTCGCTTAATACAATACTAAAGTCGAATGTGGCTGTGAAACAAATAGAGGGCATGGATGAGGGCTTGGAGGAGGAGTCGAGGCACAATAAGGACACGCGTAGTAGCGTCATCATCAGTGACGCTAATGAGAAAGGTGTTTTAAAGCTGTGGTCAATAGAAGGGACAGTTGGAAAACACATGTATTCTACAAACTTCTTGGCAAATTACAGTGTGAGTTCATAGCACCTGTGCATTTGACTGATTATAAATTTATTAGGAGTGAATGTCAGTATGAGGATCAGTAATCACTCAGTTCTTCCATACTTATCTTCAGTAATCACTCAGTTCATCCATACTTCAGTAATCACTCAGTTCTTCCATACTTATCTTCAGTAATCACTCAGTTCTTCCATACTTCAGTAATCACTCAGTTCTTCCATACTTCAGTAATCACTCAGTTCTTCCATACTTCAGTAATCACTCAGTTCTTCCATACTTCAGTAATCACTCAGTTCTTCCATACTTCAGTAATCACTCAGTTCTTCCATACTTCAGTAATCACTCAGTTCTTCCATACTTCAGTAATCACTCAGTTCTTCCATACTTATCTTCAGTAATCACTCAGTTCTTCCATACTTCAGTAATCACTCAGTTCTTCCATACTTATCTTCAGTAATCACTCAGTTCTTCCATACTTCAGTAATCACTCAGTTCTTCCATACTTATCTTCAGTAATCACTCAGTTCTTCCATACTTATCTTCAGTAATCACTCAGTTCTTCCATACTTATCTTCAGTAATCACTCAGTTCTTCCATACTTATCTTCAGTAATCACTCAGTTCTTCCATACTTATCTTCAGTAATCACTCAGTTCTTCCATACTTATCTTCAGTAATCACTCAATTCTTCCATACTTATCTTCAGTAATCACTCAGTTCTTCTATACTTATCTTCAGTAATCACTCGGTTCTTCCATACTTATCTTCAGTAATCACTCGGTTCTTCCATACTTATCTTCAGTAATCACTCAGTTCTTCCATACTTATCTTCAATAATCACTCAGTTCTTCCATACTTATCTTCAATAATCACTCAATTCTTCCATACTTAAGATAATAGTATTCTATACTATTAATGGATAATAGTATTCTTCATACTGAAGAATAATAGTATGTATATATTAATTACGGTTTTGTATTACTTGGAATGCTTCCTTAGTTGCTCTGGTGCTGATCACCTGGATAGCTCTGCATGTCTCGTGTTAAACTAAGTCCTTGTGAGTCAGAATATCACCTACCACAGAACAGAGGTCAAACCTTGGTCTTCGCAGAGGCGTGGGGGAGCACGGCATGCTAGATCTCCCAAACCTAGAGGAAAGCGATTAGCAAGGTTCAGTGAACCGAAACAAACAACTTCAGAAAAATATTAGGAACAGGGTAGTTCAGTTGTAAACCCCACTGGCTACACCGCGTAGCCAAGGTGGCAGAAGCCTCTGAAACCTGGTGTCAACGGATCAGTCATGTGCGTGGTATGGGTACGTCCACAGGTACCCTTTGTGTCGCTTTTCCCCTTCTGGTGTTTTTTTGTTTTGTTTTTAAGATAAGTGTTTATTATTTGGAATGTCCCATTGGGGGTGTCTTGGAATGTCCTACAGGACATTCCAAAGACTGGTGACATGCCTGTATTGGGTTCTTTTTTTTTTTTAGTGTTTGCTTTTCATGCATGTGTTTCACAGCTTCACTGTTTGCACGGATTGTTTGCCTTGAGCTGCATATGCTTAAGGTGTCCTTTCCTTGGGTGCTCTCTGGCATTGCTCCTGCCTTGGCAGGTTTACTCTCCTAGGAGAGGTTTGGGTGTCTGTTCCTAAGAGGATGTCCTGTTCTTGGAGAGTCCTCTCCATGGATCATGCAATGGGTTGCATGACAGACAGGGTTGTTCAGGGGTGTGCAAGGGGGTTCATGTGCTTGACCTGTGACACATTAAGGAAGGATAAGGCTGATAAGGATGGACTGGAGTTTTGATGAGATGGAAATTCCGGACTGTGACGGGTTCAGAGATTACATAATAGGAACTATAACAATGGGTGGACCTAAGATAATAGTGGCAGTCATTTACAACCCTCCCCTAAATGACAGAAGACCTAGACAGGAGTTTGATAGGAACAACATGCCAACCATTAATATAATAGAGCAGCTTCAGTTGCCTGCAGGAATGGCTCAAGACTCTTAATCATGAGCAATTTCAACCATGGAAAGATAGACTGGGAGAATGGGGACCCACATGGTGGTGCAGATACAGTACGTGGAGAGCTAAACTCTTGGAAATGGCAACAAGGAACTTTCTGATCCAGCATGTCAAGGAACCCACAAGAGTGAAAGGCAATGATGAACCAGCTAGACTCGACTTGATATTCACCCTGAATGAGTCAGAAATAAGGGAAGTCAAAGTTGAAGCCCCCATAGGAATGTGTGACCACAGTGTACCGACTTTTGAGTACTTGGTGGAGGTAGGGATAACCTATTCAAGGTTGGGATTGGAGGGAAAAAGACTAAATTACCGAAGAGGAAAATATGACGAGATGAGGAACTTCCTCAGAGAATACTATGGGAAACAGAACTTAGAGAGAAGAATGTGCAGGACATGATGGATTTTGTCACCCAGAAGTGCCAGGAAGCTGCAGACAGGTTTATCCCCGTCCAAAAGGTGAAAAACAAAAACCCATGGTTCAACCAGGAATGCAAGGTAGCGAAGCAACCGAGTAAAAGAACATGGAGAAACTCCAGGAATAACAGAACACCGGAGAGCAGGGAAAGATACCAGAGGGCCAGAAATGAGTACCTCAGAGTGAGGAGGAAGCAGAGAGACAGTTTGAAAATGACATAGCAAGTAAAGCCAAGACCCAACCAAAGCTGCTCCACAGCCACATCAGGAGGAAAACAGCAGTGAAGGAACAAGTGATGAAACTGAGGAAAGGGGAGAACAGATACACAGAGAAAGACAAGGTGGTGTGTGAAAAACTCAACAAGAGATTCCAGGAGGTCTTCACAATAGAACAAAGAGAAGCCCCTGCACTAAATGAGGAGGGGGCAAACCAAGCAACCTTGGAGGAATTTGACCTCACCAGTGATGAGGTCAAAAGGTGTCTGCTGGAGCTGGATGTGACAAATGCTGTTGGGCCTGACAGAATCTTACCATGGATACTAAAGGAAGGTGCAGAAGCACTAAGTGTGCCACTCTCTATGGTGTATAACAGGTCACTGGAAACAGGAGACTTACCATAAAGTTGGAAGACAGCTAACATAGTCCCAATATACAAGAAGGGTGACAGGCAAGAGGCACTGAACTACAGGCCAGTTTCCCTAACTTGTATACCATGTAAGGTGATGGAGAAGATCGTGAGGAAAAGGCTCGTAGAGCATCTGGAGGGAAATAACTTTGTAACACACCACCAACATGGGTTCAGGGATGGTAAATCGTGCCTCACAGGTTTAATAGAATTATATGACCAGGCAACAAAAATTAGGCAGGAAAGAGAAGGTTGGGCCAACTGCATTTTCCTGGACTGCCAGAAAGATTTTGATACAGTACCCCATAAAAGGCTGTTAAAAAAGTTGGAGCAACAGGCAGGAGTAAAAGGGAAGGTGCTCCAGTGTATAAGGGAGTACTTAAGCAACAGGAAACAGCAAGTAACAGTGAGGGGGGGAGACATCAGAGTGGCGAGATGTCACCAGTGGAGTCCTCAGTACTTGGACCATCCCGTTTCTAATATATGTTAACGATCTTCCGGAGGGTATAGACTCGTTCCTCTCAATGTTTGCTGATGATGCAAAATTATGAGAAGAATCAAGACGGATGAAGATAGACAGAGATTACAGGATGACCTGGACAAACTGGAGGAATGGTCTAGAAAATGGCTGCTAAAGTTCAACTCGGGAAAGTGTAAGGTAATGAAATTAGGCAAAGGGAGCAGGAGGCTGAACACAAGGTATCATCTGGGAGGTGAAATCCTGCAAGAGTCAAATAGAGAGAAAGATCTGGGGGTTGATATCACACCGAACCTGTCCCCAGAGGCCCACATCAAAAGAATATCATCAGCGGTATATGCTAGACTGGCCAACATAAGAACTGCCTTTAGAAACTTGTGTAAGGAATCGTTCAGGACCCTGTATACCACTTATGTAAGACCAATCCTGGAGTATGCAACTCCAGCCTGGAGTCCATACCTAGTTAAACACAACACAAAGTTAGAGAAGATTCAGCGATATGCCACCAGGCTCGTCCCGGAACTGAGAGGAATGAGCTACGAGGAAAGGCTAAAGGAGCTGAACCTCACATCCCTAGAAAACAGAAGAGGAAGGGGAGACATAACCACCTACAAAATTCTCAGGGGAATTGACAGGGTGGACAAAGACAAACTCTTCAGCACGGGTGGGACACGAACAAGGGGACACAGGTGGAAACTTAGTACCCAGATGAGCCACAGAGACGTTCGAAAGAATTTTTTCAGTGTCAGAGTAGTTAATAAATGGAATGCACTAGGAAGTGATGTGGTGGAGGCTGTTTCAAATGTAGATATTATAGAGCAAAGTAGGCTCAGGAATCTGTACACCAGTTGATTGACAGTTGAGAGGCAGGACCAAAGAGCCAAAGCTCAACCCCCACAAGCACAATTAGGTGAGTACAATTAGGTGAGTACAGTTTACTCTCTCGGCTGCATGTATTCCAAAGCTGATTGAGCCTGGTTTGGGACTCGGTTGGTGTCACTGTCCCTGCCTCCACCAGCCTTGTCCTGGCTGCAGTGCCCCCCGTCTCTTGGTGTTAAGGTGATTTGATGGTTGCTCAAGCAGCTGTGTGGGAGCCTCAACTTTGCTCTTCTGATCCATCCCCTAGGCAGAGTTTGGCTTTGGAGGCTGTGCTGGTTCCTCCGTGGCACTCCCTTTCATTGCTGTCGGGACTGTTAGGTTCTGACGCCATTGGCCCTATGTCAACTGCTGTGTCACAGTCTTCCTCTTTTGGCTTTTCGGGGTTCAGTCCCATGGTGCCTTCATTCACCTGTGCTCGACATCTTTGCTAACACCTCGGCTCTCGGCTGGGGCTTTACCACCAGCGATCATCAGTCTGTTCAGGGGCATTGGTGTCCCCTCCATCATCTGGTGCACAGCACTGTGTGGTAGTTTGCCACCGTGTGGCATGTGCTGCAGAGAATATTGATTCCTGTGCGCTCAGTAGTCCAACTCCATTCGGAAGGTTCTCTCGTGGTCTCAACTGGGGTTGGGGGAGGGAGATCACTTCTGTCTCTACCTCATTAGAGTTGGATGCTACATGTAGTTCTTCTTCTGGAATCTTGGGGTTTGGCTCTCCATGCCGTTCAGGTCCTGGGAGTGCCCAATTCTGGAAGTTCTGGAGGTCGAACCGTGTGTTGGCGGCCCTGTACTTAGTTAATGTTCCCAGGCCTCGGTGCCCTTGTGTGGTCTTGGGTCTGCTTTCTAGGCCGATGGTTTTGTCATTGCCGTAATACCTGCAGTGCTCCCTCCTCCCTGATAAGTGCCCATTTCTTCCTTTGCCATGGGTAGTTAGCTTAAGGGAGCTAAAAGGGGCTCCCCAGAAAACCAACATTGAATGTAATGAAATGCCAATTTCTGGGTGAGCCCTGGTGGCTCCCTGAGACCCTCCCTCCCGCAGGGCATCGAGGTAGTTTCCATCATCATAAGAACTGGTGGTGGAGCTGCCGGCTAGCCTGGCCTACCTCCCTCCTCCCCAGAAACGAGGATGAGGGTGGGGCGAATTAGCTCACGCTACTTTCACAAATTTTTGATACTTTCTTTACATTGTTGGGGAGTTCTTTTGGTGGTTTTGAGGTTGCAGTTTCGTTTCTAACCGAGCAGTGGTCTATTCTGTTTTGCTGATTTCCTGGGTGCCTTTCCTTGGTGGTGGCAGACATGAATAATTTTACATAAAAGGTTTTTGTTGTCACTGCTCCTTGTGCCTCTCTGAGAGGGACCAGGTTCTGGCTCATGTTCTGCGGTAGGCCAATAAGAACTCTGCAACTGATGGCACCTGTACTCTAGTGGGGTACTCTAGTTGTATGGCTTCATAATACTAGGGGCCATCAGTATAGTAGCTTCAAGAAGCCAACAGGGCTCTCCCAGAAATTGGTGTTGCATTGCATTCAATGCTGATTTATTGTTATCATGGTTACAAATTTTTCAAAGCTGATGCTTGTTGGCCTTCTGATGGGTTTTTCTTGGTTATCTTGAGGTTATCTTGAGATGATTTTGGGGCTTTAGTGTCCCCCGCGGCCCGGTCCTCGACCAGACCTCCACCCCCAGGAAGCAGCCCGTGACAGCTGACTAACAACCAGGTACCTATTTTACTGCTAGGTAACAGGGGCATAGGGTGAAAGAAACTCTGCCCATTGTTTCTCGCCGGCGCCTGGAATCGAACCCAGGACCACAGGATCACAAGTCCAGCGTGCTGTCCGCTCGGCCGACCGGCTCCCTTGGTAGTGATGTGCAGGGTCCCTTTGCTTTTTTTAGCAGACTACATCCTGGGAATGTAGTAGCTTCCCGATGTTTAGCATCGGGAAGCTACTGAGCAGCCAACCAGAAAGATCCATTTCAATGCTGAATTTTTCTTACTTGAAATGTACACAAGAATTACAAATTTTGACCTTCCGTAAGGATAGTCCCAAGAAAATAGTCTCGTAGTTAAATGGTTAATCATGCAAATGAATAACATTAACCTGTATTAAAATAATTGTTATTTGTTATCTAATGAAGTTTATTGTAATGATTTACAGGTAAAAAGTCCTGGTGGTAAGATAATCAACGTTGAAGACTTACATCTAAGCTCGGGGAGTGATATTATAAAGAAACTCCTTCAGCCACCAAGAGATCTTCAACCAAGTACTCTTCAACAATTCACAGCTGACCTATATTTCTTTCAAGTAAGTTATTAATTTTGTAGAATTATATGGTATTATTTGATATTTTTAGCAGGGAGATATTTTATAGTTTCAAGTTAAAATGTGTTGTTTTCTTTGCCTTATTTTGAGAATGCCTTTTGCGTTGATATAAAACCTTAAATTATATTTAACATTTTCACCTCTGCATGATATTGCAGCAACAAATATGCTTAACTTTATCGACCTACACACACACACAAACACTCTTGATACCTGGGAATATTTCAGATTGTTTGAATTGTAACCGCAGGAATGTCCTGAAAATGTATGGTGTTACCTTCATTTACGAATTTAATCCGTTCCCTGAGATGGCTTGTAACCCGAAACAAATTTTCCCATTAAAAATAGTGGGAAATTGAATTGTTCCGTTCCACACTCCCAAAAATATTAACTTCAAAATACATTTCATACATAATAAACACAAATATTTTGTACTATAGTATGTACAAGTTATAGCTTATTGCTGACTGTTGTTGGCGTATAGAAGACAGTGAGGAGGAGGAGAGGTGTTTGTGTTTGGCAGGGGAGTTCCCTTCCATTATAACATGAGGCAGTGATGACTTCTCTGGGGTACTCTCTCTCTCTCTTACGTTTTTGCCTGCATACCACTAGGACCTGGTTGTGGCTCGCTGCTTGTTTTTCTCACCAAGAACCCTTCCATAGAGACTTGTTTTTCTCTACATCTTAACACTTGTCTGTAGCGATGCATCACAGTGTCGTTAAAAAGGTTAAGGCAACGGCCTACTGCAGCTTGATTTGGGTGAGTCGTTTCAACAAAACTTTGCATTTCATCCCATACTGCACACTGCTTCTTAATTATTGAGTAAGGGACATTCTGTATTGCCTCCTCCTTCCACGAAGAAATTTCCTCAGCGGTAGTGCATTACCCTATTTCCTATGTTTTAATAAATGTAATGCATGCACTCTGTTGAGTCCCGCCAATTCAAAAATATGGTACTGGCCCCCACGTGGTTACTCTTGTGTTTGAGGTGTTTATAAGTAACACTTGTTCTGTACTCCGTTTTAAAGTAACAATATCTATACTGTAAGCGAAGAAGTACGAATGGGATTTGTTAGTCTGTACTCTTGGGTACAGCTTACAAGCTCGTGCCCTTACATTGATCTGTCCCTTCCCCTCATTTGGGTCAGGAGTTTCTGCTGCTATGTCAAGTCATTGCAAATTTGTTGGCTTCAGGTGTGAGTGCACTGACCTTATCCCTGTGCTGGGTGTCTCGTTTGTTCCCAGTCCTAAAGGAGGACTTGGTGGACCTCCATTCATCCTCGATCTTTCGGGTCTGAATAGCTTCATTTCCTGCCTGACCTTTTATATGATCACTCTGACCCAGGCTTGCTTGGCGTTTCAAGCAGGGTCTTCGATAGTGTCCCCTGGACCTCAAATACACTTGTCTTCCTATCCATCTGAGGTTCAGGGATTGGTTAAGTTTTGCAGTGGAACATTGTGCTTGCCACCACCAGTCATATGGTGTTGTCATGCTTACCGAGGACCACGAGCCAGATTATGGTCCCCTCAGAGAGGCGAAAGGGAGCAATGGCCTATGAAACTCGCATGTATGAAAGTATTCATGTCTGCCATCGACCGGGGTTGAGCACCCAGAAAGGTAGGCGCTTTAAAACAGACCCCTCAGGTAGACATTGCAACCTGAGACTGAATAAAAGCTAAAAACTCCTTCAAAGAAAAACAAGCACCACGACATCACAACATGCGCCTCACATTCGCACCGATCTCCCCACCCCCTCCTCCCCATCCCCCCCCCCACTTCCTGCAGGAGGTGGAGAGGGGGTCCCAGCCCACCGAGCCGGCAGCCGGACCGCTAGTTTGTCGGCTGAAGCTAAACGGGTTGGACGTCTGTTCTGGTCTCGGTTGCCTGATTGGATTCACCCTGCTAGTGTTTCTGATGTGCATTGGAGGTGGCCAGGAGTTTGTACCAAGGGCTGCAGGCACTTAGGGCACCCTACCCTAAGTACCCTGTGAGTACACCCCTTGAGGTTCAGAGCTATCTTTTCTGGGTCCTTTGGGTTCCCATTCCCGTAGAGGTAGTGGCTGCTTGCCTTTCTGCCTCGACCTTGCTGGTTCACTCTACTCTTCCGCGCTTTGCGTCAGGAGTTTCTGACACGGGTATATCATCATCTATAAGCTGACCAGGTGGCTTCTCTAATGGTGTTCCACCTGTGGTCATCTTCTCGGCAACAGTACAGTCTCTTGGCGGTCTTTTCGCCATATCCGTTCCCTGCGTAGGTTGTCTTCGGTCTTGGATTGTGTTGTGTTGACTTTTCTTTCTTGTCTCTTTCAGGACAGGCATCTTATGCTGATTACTGTCACCTTGTATTGTGCAGCGCTGGCGGAGCTGCTCCAGCTTGCGTTCGGGGTGGATGTCACTGGCTCTGTTTCACAAGCTTTCTCGTGCCTTTTTCCACCTCCGGCCTGCTCTTGCACTGCCTGAGCCGTCCTGGTCTTTGGACTGGGTGTTCTCCTTTCTTTCTTTCTTCTCCTCGGTTTGTGGTATCCCCTTCAGTTCAAGATTGTTTCCAGAAAGCTTGTTCTTGTTGGCTTTGGCTTCTGGGGGTTGGGTTGGGGAGCTTAATGCTCTATTGCGGCACATAGGCTTTTGCTCTTTTGGTCCAGGTGGACATTTTGTTCGTTTGCAGCCGTCTCCTTTTTTACTGGCGAAGAACGAAACGGCAGACTTCTGGAGGGGTCTGTGGATGATTGATGCTTGATTAGTCACGCCGGGGGTGCATCATGTTTTGTGTCCGGTTGCAGCTTTACACCGCTATCTGCGTGTCTCAGCTTATGTGTCCGGGAACGAGCTATGGGTTGACCCGGTTTCTCATGTTCCCTGTTGAGGTCTCTCAAGTCGTCCACAGGGTTATAAAGTCTAGCAGGCCTGCGGTCTACCCTCGTGCCTATAATGTTCATAAGTTCGCAACTTTGGATGCTATGTTTGTCAATATGTCTTGGGCGGACACTCGGGTACGAGGGTTTTAGAGATCGAACGGGGTCCTGGCTGCTCGATATCTTATTAATGTGCCAGAGGAGCACATTAACAGGAGCCAACAGGGCTCCCCCACAGAAAATCAGCGTTGAATGTAATGAAACACCATTTTCTGAGTAGAGTCCCAGAGGCTCTGGTACCCTCCCTCCTTCCGGTCCGCAGGTTTTGCTTCCGATTTTCAGCCTTCAACCCCCTCCCCATCCGGCCCGTTGGCGTCGTGAGGGGGCTTCGTGGGCGGCTGCCGGAGTGTGATGCTCCGTGGGACAGTCCTCTGTCCTTTTATGGCCATGCACTCCTGCTGCTGTCTTCTCTAATTGTGCCGGATCGCTTTTCCTTTTCATTATGTTTAGTTTTTCTCCCCCCTCTTCTCCTATCTGCTTGTCGTGTCCTGCCGACCTTTTGCTTGTTTTGGATTATTTCTTTGGACTTCTTCTATTTTGACGCCCGGGTGCTTGAGGAGGCATACTCTTGCACCCATAGAACTGTAGTACCCAACGTCTCGAGCGAGGGGAACCTTTAATTGTCAATCCCCCTTTCGTCGCTGAACCCGATCTCGACGGACTGACGGTTCTTAAGGTGGCGTTTGTGGGGCGTATACTCACGACGCACCCCTAGGGGCCCCGGCATGATCGGCGATAGCTTCCTGTTGGGTGTCCTGCCTCTAATTGTGGCTCCATGGTGGGTATGGGGGCACATTCGTGGATGAATTTATCACACTTCGTACCTATGTCGTTAAATGTTTCTGTTGTACCCTCTCGGGCTCGTGGGGTGGGCGACCAAGCCCCTGAGTCGGCCTGTCTTGGAAGACCGGGCTCGGTAGCCTCCGCTGCGTTGGGCCCTGACCTTGCTCCTCCTTTGACCATCCTGACTTCTTCCCCCAGCTCCCCTGCCTCCTCTGTGGTTGGATCGAGCCTCCAGCCCCCAGTGGTGACCTCTTCGTCCCCTGGTGCGGCTAAGTCTCTCGTTGTGACTACTGCGCCTTTTGACCCCTCTCTCTCTGGGGGTTCTCAATGCCGCACTCGCTCGATTCCTTCCCGTACTGACGCGTATCAGGCCTTGTTTGGTCCCGCTTCATGGGCCAAATACTTTGATCTCCTCCCTCTTGATTCTGCGCCTTCTGACGATTTCTCCCTCCATCGGCATCTTGTTGATTCCGTGGATGCGTCTGTTACCTTCAACCCCACTCGTCTCGGTACACGTGTCGTTGCTGCTCCTTCTCAGGATGCAGCTTCCCGCTTGGCTGCCTTATCTTGCCTTGGCGAGATCCCTGTTCGGGTCTCCAAGAACGTTCGGATGAATGCCAGTGTTGGCACTATTCTCCTCCCGCCCCATGTTGCAACCGGTGTTCGGAATCTGCAGGATTGCCACGATGATATTCGGCATATCCTTGATGCCCAAGGCCATTCTGTCCTCCAGGTTGACTCGTTTACTCGTCCCCCTCGTGGTCGTCGCCGTCAACCCCTTCGTTTTGTGAAGATCACCTTTGATGGTAGGACCCTTCCATCCTCTGTCATTCTTGCTGGTGCTAGGTGCTCTGTCCAGGAGTATATTCCTTCTCCTCGACTTTGTAACAAGTGCTGGAGGTTTGGGCATGGTGCCCTCCGCTGCTCTGGGACTGTCTCTCTCTGTCCTTTGTGTGGGGGTGAAGGTCACTCTAAGTTGGAGTGCACTTCTCCCCAAGCTCGCTGCCTCAACTGCGGTGAGGCCCATCCTACCTTCTCCCGTGCCTGTATCCATTACAAGCTTGAGGCAGCCGTCCTCAACTTGAAGCACCGGGAGCGTTTATCTTTTCCTGAGGCGAGGTGCCAGGTTCGCCGGCTCCGCCTTATGCTAACGTCTCTTATGCTTGCGTGTTGCGCTCTTCCTCTCTTCGTCCTTCCCTCCTTCCTCAGACTCACAACCGTTTCTGGGCCTTGGACCCTGATACGCCCACTGCCCCCTCCTCTGTTCCTTTGCGTTCTGTCCCAA